TATATATATGGCAAAATAGTATGACCAAAGACAAAATCATCTTTAGTGGGTCTCCAATATATGACCAAATATCGCATCCGAAAAATATAATGTATTTATTACGGCTAGGAAGACTGAACTCTGTGTAAGGGGTACCGGAGAGCACGAATTACAGGCGTACAAATGCGATTATCATTCCCTGAATGAGTAATAGATATTGCATACTAATACAAGATTTGGCCGTCATTTTAACGACAATGATAAATGGCCATCGAGGCGAACTTTCTATCGTTTAGCGCCATGATGATATCCACTGTGGTCTTACTAATGCCACCGAAATTAAAAATTAAACAATTAAAGAGGATCACAAATGTGCCAAGCACAGACATCATGGATACTGCATTATACCGATAAGCAAGATGTGTTTTTCTAGTTAGACTCAGCAAAAACCTCTGAATCCATGTTCTTTTTACTTTCTTAAGCCAAAGTTATCCATGTCGAGATGGAAGCAAAGCGGAATAATACAAGAAGCAGGTACAGAGTTCGGCCATGTGTTTTTCTAATTCTACCTTTTACACCTTAGGAAATAGAAAAAAAACTGGTGAAATCGAAACACACGGTGTACTGGCAACGCGTCAGCCTATCAGACCTAGAAACACGTGGTGGCCCAAGTTGGAAATTTGGGGTAGATACTTGTCGTCTCGTACTGCGAGTCAAGCGTCTCGGGTGATGCTTGATGACAGTACCACACGTGACACTCCGTGAAAAATGTAAGCTCTGTCAATTTAACTCACAAGTTTAGTTTTCCTGAGAGATGGTAACGTTTATATGTGTTGTGCGTAAAAAGCTATAAAGACCTACAAACCCGAACTATTGATATAACATCGTATCAAATGGAATCAGCTTAGGTATACCGTGAAGGCGCCGTTCACCTGGGGGCCGTAGTAAACGTTACGAGACGTAAATGATCAACAGGCAATTATAAAACATAGCTTGTCTGTCCATCGAATAGTCTGACATCGATTTATTTGACACAAAATCATGTGAGTAGCTTTTATGTCTGAACGAGTTCCAGTGTCAATTTTACGGACATCCCATCACTTAACAAACATAGTCCTATCTTGAAAGCTGGCAACAAATATCGAACTCTATAAGCCACTACGCATAAGCCCGAAGAACATCTGCGTACAATTGTTGACATTCTTTTGTAACCCATTTATCTTATTGTTAGTTTTCGGTCTTTTGTGGGTTTTTGAGTTCTATTGTTGCCTTCGAGACAGAAAAGCACGAATAAGTCAGGCGCTAAGGAACGACCAGTCTACACGGAACCTTTTTTTGTCGCGTTGGTGTTAATAAGTGGAAACATTTAAGTACCATTCTGTTCGGCTACGAATAAAAAAAAAAAGTTATACTTTGCCATTACTGTTAACTTGATTAGATCGGAATCAGATGTGCCCAGACCCAAATCCAAACTTAGCCCACCACAGACACAGAAGCTACTACGAACAAGCATTATAAGTAAAATACAATGTCCTCTGTGTAAGCTTGTGGGTAGTTAGGACTTCGGGTCTGTTATGCCGTCTGAGTTCACTCACTTGCGAATTAGCCAGATTGTCAATCCGGAAAGAAGGGGAACGGATATAGCAGAAAAAATAAATTCGAAAAAAAAAAAAAAAAAAAAACAGCTGAAAAAAGTCAAGTACTTTCGTCAAATTGCCACTCTTCATCATTGTTCCACTTTGTAAACAGATAGATCTATTTATGTTACTAATAATCAACTACGTCTCAATACGAGCCAAATCATAAAACCGCTAGAGCTCTAAGACAACTTTATATGCACGAATCTCCGACGAATCAAACAAACACATTACTAATATTGTTATTATAGATTGGTCTAACGCAATGATACGCGGCTCCCATAAGATCCACCTTGCGATATCATTACCATATGTTTTTATAAATTGTTTCTTCCAGCACGGAAGGAAACTTATAGCGACGAATGTAGAGTAATAACAATAATAATATACGGCGAATCTATTTCTACAGAATTGGGAGCCCCCATTCACTGTTCTGAATAAGTATTTACCTCAATTTCTATCTCTAACTGTGATCGAAAGTTATCACCATTGTGTTATATTTTGTACAAGGTAAACTATCAATGTTTCGTACTTTTTTTTTTATGCTTTAGAAAGCGAAATGCAAATTCATCGTACAAATAATTTAACGAAAAGAAGAAAATTGCATTTACGACATAAATTTTTTGAGAAAAATCTACTCCACTGGGGTGGGAAAAATTAGAGCCTTGGCGGTTGGTTGCCAAAGAAATTGGCAAAAGTTGCTCAGAAGCTATAAGTCAATATTAAACTTAACTCCATCTAGGGATGTGCTATGCTGTCATCCTTTTGGTCTTCACGATGAATTTTCATTGTTTATATAATCAGTAATCGTTGCATTCGTTGCTTCTAACTTTTCTACCTGTATTTGCCCATTTGGTATTTGAGAGCAGATACGGAGAACGTGACAAAAATGACAAACTGAAAACACGAGAGAAAAAAATATGTGACCAAATATTCACTAACGATATAAAACTAGATCCTTCTTTATATCGCTGCGAAGTTTGCTGTGCTTCCATAATGAACGTCTTTTGTGGGGGACGCTGTTTGAAACATAAGTAGGAAATGAAGAAGGGACGTTACGTGCGAGACACGCAAGAAAGGTTTATGGTCTTGCTACAAAACCAGATAGGTGTCTTATGTAAAGGTGTTCAACTTGAATGTCAACTGCAGGCGGAAAAGTTAAAGCGTTTACCTCAGTTGTGATATGTTTTCCTGCATGCGGTTACTGCAAACATCTGCATAGGATATATATTTGCGTTAACATAATCCAGAACGTACAGAAATGCCGGCTATGCTCTTAAAAGTATGAAGGACCTACGCTAGGGGTGGTCATTGTGGTAACTGAGACAGCTTTATTCGTGGCTGGCTGTGAAGCCGAACGTGTCCACGCGTATTATTATTAACTATTTCATAATACGTGTGATAGAACTGATCAAGGTTACATCTCAGATCCATAGGTATAGATTGGCAACCTAAATTATCTCGTAATCCATCAAAAGCAGAGTCAGCTAAACCTAGACAGGGCACGTTTGACCTACTGAAGTAGAAGCATACGCGCACTAAGAAATCTTCGTAATAGACAGCACAGATAGTTACGCAACGGGACATGGGGCTCGTCTTTTGTCAAAAGATCTCGGCTGCCCTAGAGGCCGATCTCTTGGTTGCCTCGATTAAGCGGCGGCGTCATCTAATATTCCTTCCAGCTTATCTCCATTCATTTTGCGGCAATAAGCATCGCGCTTCGAATTAGATTTATAGAAGACAATTCCTTTGATTGATATAGCTACATTCTCCTGTTGTGCGTTCAGGGCTAAAATATCTGCAATGTCGTACAGGACGAGAAACAGTAGCGCTATAAACAAACATTCCTTCTAAGCAGTCCTTTCCCACCCATGGCTAAAGGAATCATTTTGTTACAGTTTAAATAGATTTGCATATGTATGAGATAGTGTTGTAAAAGACACACATGCGTGCACCGAACTATTAACGTACACATACCCAGAACGCGGTGGCTTTAGCTGGTGAAACGACGTCTGCACGTCGAACCGTCGCCAGTCTGATTACTACTCGCGTCTACGGAAAATTCGGCCAACTGTTTCAGCCGCGCAATTTTGGCGCTTTTTATTTTTCGCGTTTTTATAATAACGCTCTAAAATATATAATAATATTAGTAATAATTGTGATAATAAGTACGACGGGGAAAACTATAACAGCGATAATACATTCGAATGTAAAATTGTGTTCCCGAATATCTGGCTAACGTTCCTGCGATGAAAAGTTGACCTGGATGACCTCAGGCTGGACATTTTACGGCCATTGTTAATTTCAGCTTTTCCACCTACACTAACAGAACGTACGCTCGGACGAAAACTATTCCTCGATTGTTGGCCGTTTGCGCCGATTAGCAGAAAAAATGGGAAAACATATTCAACTATTGTTCCATGGGATCGACCCCGTTGTGTTAGCAGCTGGATGCAGACTTCACCGCATCATAGAACAAATCTTTTTCCTTAAGTAAGTAAGTGTATATTGAAATACAGTACCTATCAGGGGAACGATTTTCTTTGTGAGCCCTCATATACACGGAACAACTTTGTGAAGTCTGATTTCGCGTCGCCAATGCTTGCCTGCATACTATACGTATGCATCCCATCCGGAAGATTTTCGATAACATGCAACGAAGACAACAGTGTCTGAGCTGCACGAACAGAAGATGATTAGCCCGACGGAGTGCGCACGACAGCAGCGCTATAGTGTGTTAGGTATTGAATGTAATGTTACAATGAAGGCAAATGCTCTGAAGGTCAAGGAAGTAGTAGTTATTGGCTCTGAGATAACTGCAGAATATTT